TTCTTTTAACTAATGCGATATATTTCATTACGGCCTACAGTGGGAGGTAGGCCACAAAAATAAAATCCTTGACAGTGCTGCCTGAGATTAATCTATTTGGGTGTATTTTGATGTTTCGATGAAGAGTGATAAGGCTTCGTTAACTTTTCATTTTACTCACGTCAAATTTCCTACGCGCTACAAAGCGCAATCGCCTCAGATTTGCACTGGCGCCATCTTTAGTAGAGCAACAAACAGGAGGGTTTTTCAGAAAGGGAGGGGTATTTGTAGACTCAGTCTCTTTAAAGCTTATGGGAGTTGTAGTTTCTGGATAGCTCAATTATTGACTTATTTAATACTTAAGATAACGAAACATTAAAAACCGTGTAAATTAATGTATGCAGATATTTATTTTGACATAAAGAAGAAAACAGCCCGTACGTTTTGACGTTCTACCTTTCGCGCGACACACTTGTAAAAACAATGGCTAGCATTTCCCACAATCCCCTCTCACACGACATATCCATTTCCGGAAAAAAAGCACAACAACACCCTGCTCAGCGCTGCCTGGCGCAAACGAGGTCGTTGTTATTATCATCGCTGTTGTCGGCGCTCGGAAAGAACTCATCGCTGGAGTTGTTAAAATCCACGATTAGTCGCAATAACGCTTGACGAGATTAATAACAATTAAATGCAACATGGAGGCCACTGAGTCAATTGTCACAGACGCCATTGAGGTGGAGGAATCAACAACTACGGTTACGACTTTGGAGACCGAAAAGTCCAAAGCAGGTAAGATGTGAGTAAGTCGATGCAGCAGAGTGTGCACCAGGCATCGCCAGCGAGGAGGACACGATGAGCCTGATGCTACAGATTGGCCTTCCCACCCGTTTTAGGTTTTTTAGAAGAGCTTCAGACCTCCAAAACAATAGATTTATTACGGTATATTTTAACTAGCATACATTCCTAACAACTGGTTTTCTTTAATATTTTAATTGCGTGTAATATTTTGCAGTATGCAATAATGGTAAAGTAAATAAAAGTAAAAAAAAAAAAAATCATTTTTTTTATATTTTTCATATAACTTGAAAGATTTCTGTCCCTCTATTGTCCTTACAGACTTATGCTTCAAAAAGTTCATAAAGACATCAGAAAAGCATATAAATTGAGCAGTTAATCCTAGTCTAGTATTCATTTAATTCGTTCATTTTATTAATTAGCCTAAATTAAATAGATTCATCAATATGGAGTGATCATGTTTCTTCAGAAAACACACACACACACGCGCAGAATTGTGATATATTTTTTTTTTTTTCCATGTTTTAACTTTTTAATGTTTCAGTTTTTCCAGTATTAGGCCTACATTTTCTCCTAAATATTTGATTACATTCTTGTTCTGAAATAACCAACGATCTACTCTTAATCTTTTTCATTCAGAGTTTGTGTGGACTCTGCAAGCTACATGGCATCTCGTCCACGTTCGTTTGGACATGGACCCAGAGTTTGACCAGCCCGTGTGCAAGAAGAAGAAGCTGTGGGAGACTGTGGCCGAGAGAGTGACTGCAAAGCTAAGAGCCGAGGAAGGCACAGACGTTTCAGTCAAAGCCTTCGAATGTGACCTGAAGTGGAGAAACATGTTAGCGACATATCGCAAAAATGCTGAGCGAGCCAGAAGACTGGGAACCAGCAGTGTTCACTGGGAGTTCTTCAAGGAGATGCATAAAGTGCTGGGAAGGAGCTACGAGGAGGTTGAGGCTCAGCGCAAGGCGAAGCTCAATGGCACCAAGCTGGGCAAGGCCATAGCCAGCAAACGATTTACCCCGATACTGCCCACACCCACAGCTACAGCACCACAGTTACCCAACGCCAGGCCTCCTCAGGATTTGCTGCAGTTGTACCTGGAGCTGCAGGAGAGGAAACTCAACATGTGGGCTCAACAGAAAGCGCTGGAAGAGAGGAAGATCGAGGCCATTAATAACTTGGCACGTGCCATAACTTTCCTGTCCCAGAACAATACCATGCAAATGCCCAAAGAGTGTCTGTCGGACACCCCTGTTACCCAACAGTAGTCTTTTCAGATAGGAAATGCATTTTTATTTTTAGAGAAATGCCCGATATGCTGAACCCTTTTCAGAGAATTAAAAAGACTTGAACTGAACAGCAATTTGTTGAAAAATGCTTGGTTTTCCTTTCCTTCAGTGTGAATTGCAAAAATATAACTGAGAAGTTAAAAACGTCACATTCATGTAAAATGAGTACAGGGCAAGTTGTACATAGTATTTTTGTGTTTTAATAAAAAAAATCATACAAAATGTTCACGTTTTCTGCTAAAGCTTTTTTCATACCACCAAATATTTATCAATTACACACAGAATCTCAAGAGTTTCAAAGGAATAGTTCACCCAAAAAAATGACAATTCTGTCATTATTTACATATTCCTAGGCTTGTGACTGCATTTTGTTTGACATGAATGGACCAGTTATCATTAACTTGAACTAAAACCATAAAAAACCCATTACTTGAATTAAAATTAACATTAATTGAAATAAAATACAAAAAAAAAAAAAAAAGTATTTTTGTATTCTATTTTAATTCTACTTTATCCATTTATCTTTTTTATTTAAAAAAAAAAACTAATACTAGCTTTCTATTTTTTCTATTCTATCTACTTGTTTTTCTTTTTGTGTGTGTGTATATGTTTATGTTAGGCGTTAGGCTAACCGAGACTTGTCATTTGCACTTATATTTTGTTGCTCTTTTGTTAGTTTTGACTGCTTTTATTGTCCTCATTTGTAAGCATTTAGATGAAAATCTTTATAAAAACGAATAGTTTTTATATGTTTCGTTGTGGCATTTGCTGTCCAATGTCCAGTTTGAACGATTGAAAAGTAAGTAAATTATGTAAAATTTAAAATAATAATAATAAAAATCAGGTATTCTGTTTAGTTTAGTTACTACAGAATGTGCATTTCTTACAAATAGTCTGGATGCATCATGTTCATGTGAGAGCCTTGAAAGTGAACACTAAATGCAGTGAGCAGAGTACCCTTTAACTACAAGAACACAATCCTTATGAAAATTATGGTTAAAAATAGTTGAGGGTAAAATACAAAAAAAAAAAAAAAAGAATTTTTGTGATTTAATAAAAATCACTAAAAATTTGGTTACATTTTATTTTAAGGTGTCCTTGTTACAGTGTAAATATACATTTAAAGGGATAGTTCATCCAAAAATGGCAATGTAATTACCACGATCAAAGTCCAGAAACGTAGCGAGGATATCTATTTTTGTTTTCTTTGCATACAAAAAGTATTCTCGTAGCTTCGTAAAATTACGGGTGAACCCCTGATGTCACATGGATTATTTTACCTATCTTGCTACGTTTCTGGACCTTGATTGTGTTAATTACATTGCTGTCTATGCAGGGTCAGAGAGCTCTCAGAATGCATCAAAAATATCTTGAATTTGTGTTCTGAAGATGAACGAAGATCTTACGGGTTTGGAACGACATGAGGGTGAGTAAATAAAGACAGAATTTTCATTTTTGGGTGAACTATCACTTTAAGTACAGAGTAATATTAATTAACTACATGTACTTACTAAACGGTTAGGATTAGGGTTTGTCTTAGGGTTACTTGTATGTAATTACGCATAATTTATTATACAATAATGAGTACATGTAACAAGGACACCTTAAAATAAAGTGTTACCCAAAATTGTTATCAATTTTTTCTGCTAAGCTTTCTTCATACCACCAAATATTTACCCAAGAGAGGAAGAAATTATAGGTCAATTATAGATAGTCCAAACACAAATGACAATTATGTCATCATTTACATATCATTCCTTAGTTTGTGACTGTGTTTTGTTTTGACTTGAATGGACAAGTGTTATCATCATTAACTTAAACTAAAAACATACAAAAATTCATTAATTAACATTGACTGAAATAAAATATGGGGAAAAATACTTTTCCCAAACATAAATTGTCACTTTCGTTTAGTTTAAGTTGAAGTACTAAAATAACTAAAACAAAAAAAAACTATATAGACATAATTAAAAAAAAAAACTAAATTGCTAAAAATGTACTCGCTTTGGATAAAAGCATCTGCTAAATGACTAAATGTAAATGTTCATTAAATATCATACAAAACGTATCGATTTTTTTATGCCAAAACTTTCTTCATATAATCAAATATCCATTAATCACATACAGAATCTTAGAGCTTTTGAGAGATAGTTCACCCTAAATGACAATTCTGTTATCATTTCCATGTCGTTCCAAACCCATAAGACTTCTGTTCACCTTGAAAACACAAATTATGATATTTTTAACGAAACCTTGCTCCATTCCACCAAAACTTTGATGGTTCAAAAAGTTCACATAAAGATTGTTAAAGAAATTCACTTTTTATTTACTTACACTCTATATGAAAACCAGATTTAACTGAAGCTTCTATTCATTACCCTAAATTAAATCTGTTTTTTATATAAAGCAACTGTTTTACTTCAGAAGTCGTGTAAAGGGAAGTAGGGAAGTCGTGGCCTAATGGTTAGAGAGTCAGACTCGTAACCCAAAGGTTGCGGTTTCGAGTATCATACCGGCAGGGATTGTAGGTGGGGGGAGTGAATGTACAGCGCTCTCTCCCACCTTCAATACCACGACTGAGGTGCCCTTGAGCAAGGCACCGAACCCCCAACTGCTCCCCGGGCGCCGCAGCATAAATGGCTGCCCACTGCTCCGGGTGTGTGTTCACGGTGTGTGTGTGTGTGTGTTCACTGCTGTGTGTGTGCACTTTGGATGGGTTAAATGCAGAGCACTAATTCCGAGTATGGATCACCATACTTGGCCACATTTCACGTCACTAAAAAAAAAGACTTAATCGCTTGATTTATGTCTAAAATGTAATTTTGTACTTTTTGATGAGTGAAAGTTTTGGCTTTGTGAACTTTGAATGAATGGACAAAAATGAAAAAAAAAAAAAAAGATAATAAAAACATCTTCATTTGTGTTCCAAAGATGAATGAAAGTCACATGGGTTTAGAATGACAGTTTCTTTTTTTGGGTGAACTATACCTTTAAATATGCAAATCAGTGTCAAAATCTTATTGTGGTGCTGCTTCCAATGTGCTGTAAAGCAGATTCACTACAGTCTCTCTCATTTTCAGCCCAGCAGCATCTTCGTTTACCTCGTCCACATCTTCCGGTGTGCTTCTCTCTACCAGTCCCTTTGTCACGTCCCCCATGTCCAGGAAAACATTGTGTAATATACAAGCAGTCAGAACCACTGCTTTTGCCCTGTCGTAGTTCCCCATATCCAAGTACCTCAATTTCTGGAATCGCTCTTTTAAGTCCGCCACAGCCTGGTTGAATCGGCCCAAATGGTTCCCCACCGATCTGTTGTAGAGGTTTTCCTGCGGCTTTTGACATGTTGAGAACGGAGTAAGTATTTGTTCTGTGAGCGGGTATCCGGCTCCGGCTATCAGGCAGGTCCCTGGAGGCACCATCTCAGGGTTTTGCCGAATCCTTTCAGCTAACGCGCTTCCTCTGTCTTTTTCCGATCCTTTGCTGATGTGGCAGTAAATGAAGCGACCTTTGTCATTGCACACCAGTTCCAAGTTCAGCCATGAATCTGGATGTGGCCCGATCTTAGGTCTCTTGGCCTCCGGAGCGTCGCTCTCGCTGTCTGGTTTCCCAGCTGGCAGGCGGATGGGGATGCGTGTGTCACCCAGCACGCCAAGCACTCGAGGGAGGCCTCTCTCTTCCAGACCCTCATTGTGACTCAGCCAGCTGGAGAAAGGAAGCAGATGCTGGAGGGCCTCCTGTCCTACAGGGAGAAAGGAGAAAACAATGCGTAAACCTGCTAAGTAACTACAACAGTGAGTGACGTGACATGTGGCCAAGTATGGTGACCCATACTCGGAATTAGTGCTCTGCATTTATCCCATCCAAAGTGCACACACACAGCAGTGAACACACACACACACACACACCGTGAACACACACCCGGAGCAGTGGGCAGCCATTTGTGCTGCGGCGCCCGGGGAGCAGTTGGGGGTTCGGTGCCTTGCTCAAGGGCACCTCAGTCGTGGTATTGAAGGTGGGAGAGAGCGCTGTACATTCACTCCCCCCACCTACAATCCCTGCCGGTACGAGACTCGAAACCGCAACCTTTGGGTTACGAGTCCGACTCTCTAACCATTAGGCCACGACTTCCCCAGTGTTATTTTATTATCATTGATATACTACTATAGTTTTGTTCATATTTTGAATTTGATTTAATTTTTATAATTTTCTGCTTTAATTTTAATTTTAAAGTTTGTAATTTTGTTCAGTTTTTGTCATTTTTATTAGTTTTTTTTAAATGTTTATATTAAAAAAATTAGACTAAATTAAAATGCTAAATTGTTAAGAGAAAATTTCAGTTTTTCACATTTAATTTGAGCTAGTTAATTTTAAAGTAATGAAAATGTTTTTCATGTTTTAATTTTAACGATAATATGAATTAATGCAATGTGAACACTGATACTGTATTTTGCATTGACTTATTTCATTGATTTTTTGTTAGTTGTAATAAATAAAATTACGTTTTTATTAAAGCAATAAGCCCCTCAAAGCCGTGGTTTACAGTGAATTTATAACAGCTAAGGGGCATTGTTGTCGACGCGAAGCGGAGTGCCTAAAACCCCCTTAGCTGTTATAAATTCACTGTAAACCACGGCTTCGAGGGGCTTATTGCTTTTATAAAACAGTTATTCCATATACGTAGTACGGTTTCACAAAATAAAACAGAGCAAATAACATGTAATGATATTAATAAAAACAGTAGTCTTCCACCAAACAATGTAGTTCCTCAGAATCAGTTGTGGTTGCAACAAAGTGGTTGCCGAGCAACACAGAAGTAAACAAAGGTGTATGTTTGTAGAGTAATTTACAACAGCTTCGAACGCGGCTCAGCCAATCAGAATCAAGGACCGGAACTATCCGTTTTATAAATGTTTTATTTACAGTGGTGGACAAAGTTACACTAGTATTTTCACCAGCTAAAAATGTTTTGACGTCAGTTATTTCTATCTTTTGCAGTAGTGCGTCAGTAGGAAATAATTTCCAAACATTCATTTTGCCATTAATTGTAATAATCCAGTGAGATTTTTGTTTGCACAAGTAGTCAGTGCTGCACACGGAGAGCTGATCTGATCATCAGTCTGTCTGGAATGACATGAAGAAACAGAACAAACTGAGACCGACTCAATGCAGAAGAACTGTGGCAACGTCTCCAAGATGCTTCAAGAAACCTACCTGCAAGGCTACAGCACTGTTAAAAGTTTTAGGCACTAAAATGAGGCTGTAAAATTAGGATGCTGTCAAAAATAATGTCATAAATAGATTTTCTTTATCAATTAACCCCTATTAACTAAATTAAATCAACATTTGGTGTGAGCATCCTTTACGTTTAAAGCAGCTTTTGCCCTGGATGCACTTGCGCATAGTTTTTCAGGTAGCTTTGCAGATAGGCAGATCTATTTGTAACTGATTTAATCCTGTTCCTGCCATTAAAATAGCCACAGATAAAATAAAACAATTGAGTGGAACTGTCTCCTAATTAACTTGTACCTGTAGGCCATTGAATGAGCCGATCCTTTTGTGTGATCACTTGTTCACAGAAAGAGAAGAAGATCCTGTGAATATTCCCCTTCTCCAGATGGAAACGAGAGGACACGCTGCGATAGCTGATGCGTTTGGACAGGAGGGTGAGGGACAGGAGGACAGTGTGAGACAAGGACAGGCGAGCTCTTCCAGACAATCGGTTCTTGCTGTAGCCCGTGTTGGAGCTTTGCAGAAAATTTGTCACATACTGCAAGAAATAACAAGACGGCGAGAATGATGTAAAGCAGTGGTTCTCAACCTTTTCAATTCTAAGGCCCAATGACTTTTCCAGTTGTTCATGACTTGCTGGATTAAAGGGGTCATATCACACGATTTCATGTTTTCCTTTGTCTTTGGAGTGTTGCAAGCTGTTTGTGCATATATAAGATCCGTAAAGTCACAAAGACTAAAGTCTAAAATCCAGAGATATTCTTTATAAAAGTTAAGACTCGTTTAAACACGCCCCCACGTCTACGTCACTGTGTGGGAAGATTTGCATAACCCCGCCCAAATGTTCACGCAAAGAAAGAAGGCGTAACTTTTATTCTCGCTGTAGTATTGTTGCCGCCGCCATGGAAGCTGATATTCCAAATATGGTGAGGGGCGTAACATTTCCGTCACGCGCTTGAGGTATTCAGCCAATCACAACGCACTGGATAGCTGGCCAATCACAGCACACCTTGCTTTTCAGACCTATTCAGCCAATCACAAGGCACTGGATAACTGGCCAATCAGAGCACACCGCGCTCTGTATGTGTTTTTTTTTTTCACCTTAAACCGCGTAAACACACTGCATTACACCAAATACACAAAATAATGTTCTTTTTAGCAACGTCATATGACCCCTTTAAGGATAAAGATATCTAAAATGACTCACAATTTCTACCTGATAAAGTATTTTAGAGCTTGGAATAATTAAAAAAATGTCCACTACTGGTCAAAAGTTTAGAATACTAACATACTAAATGTTCTTATGTTTTTGAAAGAGGTCTCTTATGCTAACCAAGGCTGCATTTATTTACAGTAATACAATAAAAACAAACAAACAAAAAGTTATATTGTGAAATACTGAGAAAATAATACTTACATACATTAAACAGGATGCATAAAGTATGCATTAAATTGATCAAAAGTGACAGTAAAGACATTTATAATGTTACAAATAAATGCTGTTCTTTTAAACTTTTGATTCAAAGAATCCTGAAAAAATAGATCAGTCTCCACACAAAAACTTTTGAACATTGATAAGAACCACTGATCATTATTAGTAATTGTACACTAATAATAACTAATAACTGCAAAGCAAATCAGTATATTTGAATGGTTTCTGAAAGATCATGTGACACTGAAGACTGGAGTAATGATGCTGAAAATTCAGCTTTGCCATCACAGGAATAAATCACATTTCAAAATATATTAAAACCGAAAACAATTCTGTTAAATTGTTATAATATTTTACAATACTACTGTTTTTGCTGTATTTGTTGATCAAATAAATTATTGAGGAGAATAAGAGACTTATTTCAAAAACAACAAAATCATAATTATTCCAAACATTTGACTGGTACTGTACATTTTTGTAGATATTCCAAGCTCTAAAATATTTTATCAGGTAGAAATGGAGTAAAAAAATAACTAATTCATTTAAAAACAATAATAATTTTGATCACCTTTCCAGGTCTTTAAAATTAGGTTACCTCATATATTCAGGTTTTTACAAGATTTGTGTGAATCCTGGTTCTGGGTTATTTTAATTCTTGCTTTATCTTATTTCTAACCAAATATTTAAGCCATATTGATGCCCCCTGGTTGAGAACTACTCCCGTAAAGCGAGAAAATGGCTTTAACGTGAAGTGCATGAGCTAGCAGACCTGCTGTACCTGTACTGTAGGGTTGGCCTCCATGGCTTCAGTAGCATGTGCGCGCTGCAGGGCAGAGCTCCTGGACTCTGACGCCTGGGATGTCGCTGTTCGAGCCTGATCTGCTGGCGATGAATCCTCCTGTTGAGAGGCTTGCTTCAACACAGAGGCTGCCTGCTCCTGAATCTGGGCCACCAGGTCAGCCTCTATCATCTCCTCCACCGCTCGGTCCAGTCGCTGGTCCAGCTCCCAGGGAGACAGCGGCTCCCACTCCGCCTGCACCGCGTCCATTATCACGCGCCCTGCGGCCGCCGCGCTCCATTTACGAGCCTCCATCTAGACGCAGCTCGGATTAATGTGGGAGTACACGGATGAAGCTAGCCAAGTTGGCTCTCCAAAAACATACGTGGTTAGACGCTGCTAAGAGACGTTGCTTCTAAAATAGATTGGGGAAAGTAGCTGGAGTAAATATCTCAGCTTAAGCAATAACGAGGGTAAAACAAGTTAGATGTGATCTACTGTGTAGGCAGTAGATACTAGCGCTGTAACTTTACCGTGCAAAATGAATGAACCGAGTTACTATGGATAGTTCACATGCATACTGACTGAGTTAACATAGAGATGTGATTTTGAAATTAAATAAAAATCTTAAAACCTAAAATACGTTGTGGCACGCCCATAAAATCACGGAGAAGATATTAACAGACCTTTAAAACAGACGATCCTCTTTCCACATTAGCTTCTGTTGCTAGGTTGATCTACTGCGCATGCGCACATTTAACAACTATGATTGGTTCTGTGTGATTTCAATACAACATCCATCTGTCGATAAACCCATATCACCTTTTTCTCTTTGAACTTGTTCTCTACTAGATTTGTCATGTTTATAAAATAAAATTCTGAATTTGATCGATACTAGTAGCCTAATGAGTGAATGGAGATCCGACCTGACATCTCAATTTGATTTGGATTTTTTATTTTTTTATATAAGAATGTTTATTTCAGTTTCATGTTGCAAATAATTTAAACACATTCATTGCATTACATTTAAATACAGATGGAAGAGATGTGTTTTTAAGCTGATTCTTGAAGATGGATTGAGTTGGGCAGGTCATTCCATCAGGAGGGAACATTTAATTTAAAACTCCGTGAAAGTGATTTTGTGCTTCTTTGGGATCGCACAATCAAGCGACGTTCACTTGCAGGACGCAAGCTTCTAGAGGGCACACAACTCTGAAGTAATGAATTTAGGTAAAGGGGTGCAGAGCCAGTGGTGGTTTTGTAGGCAAACATTAATGCCTGGAGTTTCATGCGAGCAGCTACTGGTAGCCAGTGCAAATTGATGAACAGAGGTGTGACATGCATTCATTTCGGGTTTATTGAAAATTAATCTTGCTGCCGCGTTCTGGATTAATTGTAAAGGTTAAGAGAGCATTGCAATAGTCCAGCCTGGACAGAACAAGAGCAAGAGCTTGAACAATTGAACAAGGAGTTGTGAAGCATGTTCCCAAAGAAAGGGCCTGATCTTCTTGATGTTGTATAAAGCAAATCTGCAGGACCGGACCGTTTTAGCAATGTGGTCTGAGAAAGTCAGCTGATCATCAATCATAACTCCAAGGTTTCTGGCTGTTTTTGAAGGAGTTATGGTTGATGTGCCTAACTGGATGGTGAAATTGTGATGAAACTATTGGTTTGATGGAACCACAAGCAGTTCTGTCTTGGCAAGGTTGGGTTGAAGGTGATGGTCCTTCATCCAGCAAGGAATGTCTGCTGACAAGCGGAGATGCGAGCATGTGAACATTCATGTGAAACCTATAAATATAATTAACATTAAGCAATACTCATTTCTAAAACTCATCTCTTCTTCGAAAAGAATTTAAGGCCGTTTGAATAAAATACTATTTATTTAAACCAACTCTGTTTCGTATACTTGTTGATCATGCCATAAACATATTTCCAGTGTGCAACATTTCTGCTATTCAGCTTTTAAAGTAACTTGTCTCTTACATCAGTCAAGACCTCCAAATACACTTCTAGGCTCGCTACGAATTGGATCTGAATGAGAGACGGCCTGCGTCCCAATGTGCATACTTTCCATCCTAAATTCTATGTGATATTAGTCATTTTCAATACTATTTAGGGCAGATAGTGTGCACATTGGGACGCAGGGATGGTTCTGGGTTGAATGAATCATCAGTGATCCAATCTGAATCGTTCAGGTTTTGTGAACCGGTTTAACCGATTCATTGAAAAGTTTCAGGGCACCTAAACCCCCACATATTACATAAGTATTTGGGGAAGGTTTTTTAACACGGATGCGATTGTGCAACTACGATTAGTTTTACTAATACAGAAACTGAAACATAACTTAATCTTAGAAATCTTTCACTTTTAAGTTTCAAATGCATAAATGCAAATTTTCCCATTTCAAATCACATTTCAAGGCGTTTCTCCACTAATTTCGATAGTATTTTAAATCACTTAATATCTGAAAACACTTGAGTTGAGGAAAGCGCTGTCTTACTTTTTCCTGTTTCTTGTTCATTTTCTTCCTCCTGTCTTTTGTTGCATTGTTGGTTGTTATTCTGTAATGTAGCAATTATATCTCCACATTTATAAATAATAATACTAATAATAAAAAAACTAAAACCCCAAAAGCAACAGCATTAATAAACAGACGTTGAACATTAGAGGAGGAGTGGAAAAGGGCTGATTTTAATTAATTTAAACGCAGTTACAGATACTGCAGCATGATTTTCTTTTATGTTTTTAACTTTTTTGTTTGTTTGTTTTTCCAAGAGCACTGTGAAGGAACACTGCCATCACTGAGAAGAATCAGGGTGAGTTCGCAAAAACATTAGGATCCGTTTTTTGGGATGAACACAACGTCAGCATTTGTGTTAAAGTTAAACATTCACTTGTTCAAGCAACTGCGCTCAAAGGCTTCTTTCTTATTGATCTTTACATTTTTACTTTATTCTTACCACTATTTTAAAATGCCACACACACACACACACACACACACACACACACACACAC